ACAGAGCTTTCCTCTCCGCTTTCAAAGCTGTTCAATATTTCGTTACAACAAGGTGTATTTCCCTCTCGTTGGCAATCTACGTTCATGTTCCCGATTTTCAAGAAAGGAGACAAACAAAATGTGGAGAATTACCGAGGAATTACTTCACTTTGTGCCTGCTCGAAAGTATTCGAGATAATTATCAACGACGCTTTATTTGCCAGCTGTACCAACTACATTTCTCCTGACCAACATGGTTTCCACCCCAAACGTTCGGTCTCAACAAACCTCGCTCCTTTCATTTCCCTTTGCCTACGGAATATGGAGGCAGGGGCACAGGTGGACGTCGTATACACAGATCTCAAGGCTGCTTTCGACCGGGTTGATCATGCCATTCTAATTACCAAACTCGAGAAGCTTGGTGTTTCTCATGGACTCACAACGTTTGTTTGAATCGTATCTTACCAATCGAGAGCTTTGTGTGAAAATCGGGTCTGATCAATCGGAATATTTTTCTAACAACTCAGGCGTTCCTCAAGGCAGCAATTTGGGACCGCTGCTATTCTCCATATTCATTAACGAAATCGGTTTGATACTTCCAACTGGCTCCCGGTCATTCTATGAAGACGATGTCAAGATGTACGTGGTTGTGCAATGCTTCACTGACTGCCTGCGGTTGCAGCACCTGATCGATAGTTTCGAAGAGTGGTGCTCTAGGAATTTTCTCACGTTGAGTGTTCAAAAATGCAATATCATCACTTTCCATCGCAAGCTAAAACCTATTGCATTCAATTATACGATCGATAACCAACCTCTGCAGCGTGTGGACAACGTTCGTAATCTAGGAATTACACTTGATTCTGCGTTGACATTTAAGCTACATTACACGGATATCATAGCCAAAGCTAACAGGCAACTCGGATGCATCTTTAAGATCTCTTATGAGTTTCGGGATCCTACCTGCCTGACAGCTCTATATTGTTCTCTAGTGCGATCGATCTTGGAATTTGGTGTAGTAGTATGGTGTCCGTATGAAACAGTTTGGATAGCGAGGATCGAGTCTGTTCAGAGTAAATTCGTTCGTTACGCTCTTCGCCCTACCCTACGAAGATCGTTGCCAACTACTGGGTATTGAAACTCTTGAACGTAGGCGGAAGATTAACCAGGCAGTTTTTGCAGCAAAAGTGCTGATAAGCGAAATCGACTCTCCCGGGATTTTGGCTGAACTCGAAATCTATGCACCTGAACGAGTTCTACGATCGAGAAGTTTCCTGCATCTCGGACCCCGTGCAGCTAATTACGGATTACATGATCCAATAAGGTCTGCCCGTTTCAATGAATTCTATGTTTTTTTTTTTTGATTTCAACTGCACAGTGGAAACATTTCGTCAACGGATTCAACGTAGTCTGCTGGATAGGTGACGATACGGTTCGACACATGCAACTGCTTTCAAGCAGCAAATTGTTGCAAGACGGTGAGTAGCTATCCATTAATGTACATCTGATGAATTTTGCTACCTGTTTAATTTTTTGTTCCCGATCAACTCTGCGATGACGGCCTCGACTGATCCAAGGACAACTCCATGCCATAGGACGAGGTTATTTTTTTTATGATGAAGACCATAGTATTTGTTGCGAACGCCCCTCGTTTGTGAGCCTACCTCCAAATCAACACTTCGGTACCAACTGAACAAGCGAAAGCTGACAAAACGAGATAATGGAGAAGAACAAAGAGTGCTGATAACAAAGCTGAATTGGTGTGACACGATGTCGAAAAAGATTATCTAAATTTATTTGCCTAATTTTCGCGTATATATTTACATTTAAACCTAAATTTGTTTGCATTTAAACCTAAATTTGTTATTCTACACATGCAGTGAGTTGAACAAATAACAGTTTTGTTTATTGAAGTGCTAATTAAAATGAAATTTATTATCCTAGAAATTGTTATAGGTTAAATTGATTTGCACTCTGCCTTGAGCCGCCTCTAGACAGAAAAGAAAACTAAAGTTATTCTGCACAAACCGGATTCCCTAAGCCTAGCGTTACATAGATCCCATTCCGGGTTAAACAATGAAAGAAGATTACAAAACGTAAGTTATAAGATCATAGTAATTATTGTATTCTAAAACGCATATTTTTTTTAGGAAACTTTAACGCAACACATAATAAATACGTTTAAAATTTCGGAGCTGACTTCTCTATTAGTTGCATAAGCAACATCTTAAAGTTTCGTTTTTCCCGGATCAAGTATCTATAGCGATGCCACGTCGGCCGCAACCACTGGAAGAAGACAGCCTGGAACAGAATTGTCCTCTCTGTGGGTTGCCTGATTCTAGCCAGATGGTCAGCTGCGAAGAGTGCCAACGGTGGTTTCATTTTGTATGCGCTAATGTGAGTGACGATTACGATTGGAGCTGTCAGAGATGCCGTAGCGCCAGATTCCCTGCTCCAGTACCAACTGCGTCATTCTCGATGCCGCCAGTACATATACCAGCCGTTGAATCCGAAACGCAGTCATTAGTACCACCTCTAGTCTCGCTTCCACCAGGAGGACCAAGTACGTCCTATGAAGCGCTCCCGTTTGTGAATGCCCAACAAGTCAAGCATACATTCCACCAGTCAGCCAGACGACATCGACCTATAATAGGGCGTACGATCCTAGGTATACCTGTGGTAGTCACGTATACTTTCCGCAGATTGAACCAATCATGACAACTGCTCCGTCCGTACCAACATTACAGCCGAATCATGTTTCTCAGATGCCTATGGATTTGAGGCTCCGTTACCTGGAAGAAGAACAGGCTCTCGAAAGGAGACATCTGCTACAACGGTACCGTTTATTGATGGACGCACCACAAGTTGAGCCGCCGATTACAACAATTCCACTGGTTGGATTACACAGCAGTGATTCAGCACACCCAACCAGTCAGCATCAGTCATTCCCGGATTTTCCACGAGTGCATATTGTGCAATCACCTCCCGCTCCAGTTTTTCCAAACCCACAGTACCATTCTTCCCCGGTTCAAAACCCACGAAGGTCTAGCAGGCCGCTTCAGACTGGTATCAGTTCGCAATTCCAACCTTCACCAGTACAACAAACTCGTCCGAGCATTCCAGGATTCCGTAATGAAGATCATCTGCAAGCAACTGGATTCGGGAACGAATCGGCTTTACTCAACAGAAGTCAAATGGCTGCGCGCCAAGCCGTATCTAAGGACCTCCCGGAGTACAACGGTGATCCGGAACAGTGGCCGTTATTTATTGCTACATTTGACAGTACAACACGTATTTGTGGCTACACCCCGGAAGAAAATATGATACGGTTACAGAAATGTCTCAAGGGCAAGGCACTCAAAGCAGTGAGGTGTCAGTTGTTACACCCGAGGAACCTAGAAAACGTTTTGACAACCCTCAAAATGTTGTTTGGCCGTCCCGAGATTATAGTTCATTCCCTCATACAGAAGATTCAGCTCCTGCCAGCACCGAAAGCTGAGAAACTTGGCACACTGGTCGACTTTGCTATCGCCGTGAGGAACATGGTAGCGACAGTGCAAAACTGTGATTTGGAAGAGCATCTCTGCAACATCTCTCTTCTACAAAGTCTTGTGGATCGCCTACCACCAATGATCCGCCTCAACTGGGCAACTCACCGCCAGAATCTGTACCGAGTTACACTCTCACAGTTCAGCGACTGGCTGTATAATCTCGCTGAGGCGGCTAGTAGTGTAACGATCCCACAAATTCAGAGTGTTCCTGAAAAGCCCCGGCATGCACGAAAGGATGACGGTTTTTTGAATGCTCACACTGAAACTGCTCCGAAACCAGAGGTGGATTCAAATGGTTTAATCAATTCAAGCACTTGTGCCGTTTGTCAAGGAAAGTGTGAAGCCGTAGAATACTGCAAACAGTTTTTGATTCTCGACCATCCTTCGCGGTGGAATACGATACGTGAGTATAAGCTATGCCGGTGTTGTTTAGGAAAGCACCAGGGTCCGTGTAAGTTTACTAAAATGTGTGGGAAAAACGGATGCACGTTCAAACACCACCGGTTGCTGCATAATGATGCCAAGGATAAGCACTATTCCCCTACTTCTACTGCAGAGTCGAAAAGCGGTCCAAGCCATCAAAACGCCGCCGAGCATACCTGCAACACTCATCGAGGAAACAGCAATTCCGTACTTTTTCAGTACATTCCCGTCACGCTTCACAATAAAGGAGCACGAATCTACACCTTTGCCTTCCTCGATTGTGGGTCTTCGTTAACGTTGCTAGAAGAGGGGCTAGCGTCGGAGTTACAGCTGCAAGGTGAGAAGCATCCGCTATGTCTCCGGTGGACCGCTGATACATGCCGATACGAGGACGCGGCCATGAGGGTATCACTCGAAATTTCTGGGACACGTAATGAAAAAGTCAAACATCGACTCGCTGACGTTTACACCGTGAAGGAATTGAAGCTACCTTCTCAGTCCCTACCATTTGAGGAGCTTTCCACGAAACATGCGTACTTGCAAGGGATACCCGTGGACTCTTACACAAACATGCAGCCTCGTATCCTAATTGGTATGAACAACATACGAGTAGTTCATCCGTTGGAAAGCCGTGAGGGTGCAGAACACGAACCCATAGCAGCCAAGACCAGATTGGGATGGATGGTGTACGGAACGTGCCCTTCTGGAGGCAGAGCGTGCTCAAATACCGCACCGCATAGTTTCCATATGTGTCATCACTCTTCAGAAGCTGACGTCGAACTGAATTCAGTGGTCAAGGACCATTTTGCACTCGAAAACCTGGGCATTGCGAAACTGGAAAAGCTGCTTTTGTCAACGGAAGATGAACGCTCTGCAAAGATGATGCGTTCAGTGACGAAGTTCGAGAATGGAAGATTTCGAACAGGACTGCTGTGGAAATTCGACGACATTCGGCTACCTGACAGTAGGCCGATGGCATTGAGACGTCACCATTGCCTGATGAAAAGAATGGAACGTGATTCGAGCTTGGCTGAAACACTTAGAGCCAAGATGGACGATTACATGCAGAAGGGTTACGTTCGCAAATTGTCTCCAGAGGAATTACGAGAACCCAAGGATCGCATATGGTACTTGCCAATATTCCCTGTATTCAACCCGAACAAGCCAAACAAAGTTCGGATCGTTTGGGATGCAGCGGCGACTGTGGGTGGAGTCTCCTTCAACTCTGTCCTCATGAAAGGACCAGATCTTCTGACAGCGTTGCCGTTTGTGCTGTACAGATTCCGGGAGCGGCCGATTGCAGTTTCTGGGGACATCGCTGAGATGTTCCTCCGTATGCTGATGAACCCACTTGACCAGCACTGTCAACGGATTTTCTGGTGCAACCGGGATGGTACGACTGGCGAATACGTCGTTACGGTGATGACGTTTGGCGCTAAGTGCTCACCGAGCTGCGCCCAGTTCATTATCAACGAAAACGCAGCACGATTCGCAGTACAGTTTCCAGAGGCTGTTGAAATCATCAAGAAAGGCCACTACGTCGACGACATGTTGGTAAGCGTCGACACCGAAGAAGAAGCAATAAAGCTAGCGAAGGATATCCATTACATCCATCTACAGGGCGGGTTCACCATGAGGAACTGGATTTCAAATTCTCCATCAGTTGTGCAAGCGCTAGGTGAAACTGGAACAGCTGAGAAAAGTTTGGACGTGAACAACGAAGCAGTACTGGAGAAGGTCCTCGGAATGTGGTGGGACACCAAGACGGATACCTTTCGGTACAAACTTTCCACTGAACGGAACCAAGAGCTTATTTCTGGCCTCAAACATCCCACGAAACGAGACGTACTACGCGTAATGATGTCGGTGTACGACCCTCTCGGCTTGATATCCCACTACATGGTATACTTGAAATTGCTGTTCCAAGAGATTTGGAGAGAGGGATCTTCATGGGATGACGAAATCGGCGTGAGGCAGTTGATGAAGTGGAAGAACTGGCTGCAACTTCTACCGGAAGCGGAATCGGTGCGAGTTCCACGATGTTACCATCTATCTTATTCGCGTGGCAGAGAACGTACAGTAGAATTGCATACGTTTGTGGATGCCAGTGAACTTGGATACGCTGCGGTTTGCTATTTTCGGTTCATTGAAGGAGATAAAATCTCTTGTTCGTTAGTCGGATCGAAAAGTAGAGTTGCCCCGATCAAATTTCTATCAATTCCACGGCTTGAACTCCAGGCAGCGGTGATAGGCACCCGTTTAGCACGAAGCGTTGAGGATGGACATTCGATCAAGATTGATCGACGGATTTTTTGGACGGACGCCCGTGATGTAATTTGTTGGCTCAAGTCGGATCACCGAAAATACTCCCAGTTCGTCGCCTTTCGTGTCGGGGAAATATTAGAAGCTACAGATATCGGAGAGTGGAGGTGGATACGAGGAAAAATCAATGTTGCCGATGAAGGTACGAAATGGGATCGTTTACCGAGTTTCGACATCAGCTGCCGCTGGTTTGCGGGTCCACCATTCTTGTCGAAGCCGAGATAGGAATGGCCCGAAGCATCAATCAACGAAGAAACTGCAGAAGAACTCCGGCCGCGATTGCTACATCACCACACCCAGATAGCCGGAGATTTTCTGCGTCCGGAAAACTATTCCAATTTGAGCCACCTACAGCGACTTACCGCTCTCGTGCAGCGATTTCCTGTCAATCTTCAGCGGAAACTGAAGGGTGAGAAACTTCTTCGAGGACCACTGACCAGCGAAGAACTGCTAGCGGCGGACAATTATCTGTATAAGCGCGCTCAATGGGCATGTTACCAGGATGAGATGGCGACATTGTCCGCAGGTAAGCCAAATTTACCCAAAACTAGTTCTTTGTTCAAGGTCAGCCCGTTTATTGATAATGCGGGCGTGATGCGCATACGTAGTCGTATCGACGTTTGCGATTTTGCTGACGAAAAGACGCAGTTCCCGATTGTACTACCACGTCGTAACCCGCTCACAAATTTAGTGCTTCAGAACGTCCACGAAAAGTACCACCACCAGTGCAACGAAACCTTCGTTAACGAAGCTCGGAAGAAGTTCAACATTCCAAGAGTACGTGTGGAGTGTGACAGAGTCCGTAGAGAGTGTTCCCGTTGTAAAATCCGACGGGCTGAGCCTGATCCTCCTATGATGGCGAACCTCCCGAAAGAGCGACTAGCAGCCTTTGTTCGACCCTTTTCTTACGTAAGGGTTGACTATTTCGACCCGTACCAGGTCACCGTTGGGCGGCGGTCCGAGAAACGTTATGGAGTGTTAGTTACTTGCTTGACTACACGGGCGATCCATATCGAGATAGCCCACTCTCTCTCAACGGACTCGTGCATAATGGCCCTACGCAATTGCTTCTCCAGACGGGGAACTCCACTGCAAATAATAAGCGACCGAGGGACCAACTTCGTGGGCGCATCAAAGGAACTCATGGAGGCATTAGCGAACGTCGACAATAACAAAATAATGGCTGAGTTCACTACGGCGTCTACTTCGTGGAGCTTCAACCCACCTGCGTCGCCACATATGGGTGGCATATGGGAGAGGATGATACAGACGGTCAAAAAGGTTCTAGCCGAAATCAAACCGAAACGTTTACCAACCGACGAAGTCCTAAAGAACCTGATGGCTGAAATAGAAAACGTTGTAAACAGCAGACCATTGACTCATGTTCCTGTCGACGATGAATCGTCTCCCGCATTGACACCGAACCACTTTTTAGTTGGATCATCGAATGGTTCTGTGGTGGCGCTAATTAATCAGTCACCCTATCATCTGGCTACCCTGTGAGGGAGCTGTCAGTTGCGAACTGAATCAAAAAGTGTAAACCACGTGAAGAGGAATAAAGTTGGATTTTATTGATTAATTCCGTCGCGTTATTACTTTCTCGTCATTTCCGTCCCACATTTGGTGACCCCGACGTGCTGTCCTGGAATACAAAATACCAACAATGGTGAAAGATTTGCGTCGTTTTCTGGCATTGATTAACGTCTACAAACGATTCGTACCTCACGCTGTGGAAATTCAGGAACGATTACGAAAGCTTATTCCTGACAATCGAAAAAACGATAGCAGAAAAATTTCATGGGACGAAGAAGCATCTCGTTGTTTCGAACGTTGTAAGCAGTCACTAGCTGAGGCAACATTGCTTCACTATCCTGACGCCTCAAAGCCTCTTGGACTTATGGTAGACGCGTCTAACTGCGCAGCGGGTGCCGTTTTGCAGCAATTCGATAGTGGAAGCTGGAAACCCATCGGATTCTTTTCTCAAAAATTTTCTTCGAGCCAACAGAAGTACTCAACCTTCGGAAGAGAACTTACAGCTGCAAAAGAAGCGGTGAAATACTTTCGACATCTTGTCGAAGGGCGACAATTCACAATTTTCACTGACCACTTTCCACTCACTTATGCCTTAACCACGAATCCGAGCAGTCGGCTTCCCCACGAAGAACGGTATCTGGCATTTATAGCAGAATTCACGAGTGATATTCGCCACATAAGTGGAAAGGATAATATCGTTGCAGACGCTCTTTCAAGAGTTGATGCTGTAACAGCCGGGATTGATTTTGATGTGATCGCCAAGGACCAACAAAATGATCAGCAACTGAAGAAACTTTTGTCGTCCAAAGATACTTCCTTGAAGCTCGAATCTCGGACATTCCCTCATTTGCGTTCACCGTTAATTGTTGATGTATCCACTAACAACAATATTCGTCCTTACGTTCCAGAGAACCACCGGGCCAGCATAATGTCACAACTTCATGGGTTAGCTCATCCCGGTGCACGTGCTACAAGGCGATTGATCGTAGATCGGTTTGTTTGGCCCTGCATGAATAAGGATATCTGTCAATTTGTCAGGACATGCCAGCAGTGTCAACGTTCAAAGATAACTAGACATACCGTAGCACCATTCTCAAGCTTCGACATACCTAAGGCACGCTTCCGGAACATCCACATAGACCTCGTTGGACCACTTACGCCTTCTTGTGGACATCGTTACTTGCTGACGATCATTGATCGTTTTTCACGATGGGCTGAAGCAATTCCACTGAGCGAAATGACTGCGCCAACCGTCGCCAAGGCTTTATACGCGGGTTGGATATCTCGTTTTGGGACTCCAGAGACAATCACATCCGACCAAGGGCGGCAGTTTGAGTCGGAGGTATTCAAGGAACTCACGCGTTTGCTTGGCGTACACCATATTCACACCACTGCATATCATCCGCAGTCAAACGGAATCATCGAACGATTTCACCGTACACTAAAAGCATCTCTTATGTGTGCAGGTGGGCGTGATTGGCACGACCGCCTTCCTTTGGTTCTGCTAGGACTTCGATCGGCTTATCGAGAGGACTTAAAGTGTTCATCTGCAGAACTAGTATATGGTCAAGCACTCAGGATTCCGGGAGAATTTTATGATCCTCCTACAGCAAACGTCGATCGTACTGAACTATCCAGTTTTCTGCACAAAACATTCAGCGAACTAAATGCGCCTACTCCGACTCACCATGCAAAGGAAAGGCCGTTTGTGCATCAAAAATTGAAGGATTGCAGTCATGTCTTCATTCGGGTGGACTCAGTCAAGAAACCGTTCCAGCAACCTTACGAGGGACCCTACCAGGTTTTAAAAAAAACTGACAAATTTTTTGAAATCTCAATTGGAGGAAAACAGCGCACCATATCAATCGACCGTATTAAACCTGCTTTCTTATGTAATAGCAGCTTCTCCAATCACCCCCAGGACGATAAGAAAACTGTAGTTACACAATCAGGACACAGGGTTCGTTTCCTAGTGTAACTGGAGGGGCATATGTGGTGGCGCTAATTAATCAGTCACCCTATCATCTGGCTACCCTGTGAGGGAGCTGTCAGTTGCGAACTGAATCAAAAAGTGTAAACCACGTGAAGAGGAATAAAGTTGGATTTTATTGATTAATTCCGTCGCGTTATTACTTTCTCGTCATTTCCGTCCCACATTTTAAACCTTTAGTGCCATATGATGATAGTGCTTTGGCTATGCGGCAGTCCTGGAAAACATCACAAATTCTGGCCAACTATTTTTGGAAACGCTGGGTTCTTGAATACACTCCTGTAATCACCCGCCGAGCTAGGTGGTTCAACCCTGTAAAACCGATTGCTGTTGGAAACATTGTAATTGTCGTCGATCCCAGCTTCCCAAGGAACTGCTGGCCTAAAGGCAGAGTAGTCGCAGTCAAGACTTCGAAAGATGGGCAAACCGGCGACATGATTCCATTGAAATCCATGCGTTAGAGTTTGATTCTCCGAGCCCCTTTTGGCGATGAACGTTTTCCAGTTGTTTGGAGGTGATAGCAACCAATGCAACGTGACAGTCGAGTCGCACCAGTAGAAAGAGTCTCAGCTGCAGTTCAGGAGGCATAGTTCTTGCATCAGCATTTTCCTCGGACGACGATCGGCGCTGCAAGCCCTAGTGAACATTGGTTTAGTCCTTGGAGCACCTCTAGCCTATTCGAAGCCCACTTTCGTAAAACGAAGCCACCTTTCCTAAGAAGATCGTCTAGTTCTTTTCGCAGCTTGATGGCTTCTTCGACGGTTTGAGCACCTGCAACGCAATCGACTTAGAATCGGACTACTTCGGAGCAGGCAAGATGCCTCTTGGAGGCAATACATTTTATTCGTGCTACGTACGAATTTCCACCGTTCGTCAACTAGATCACAACATAGGACGATACATCCTGGCCGAAACCGTTGGTATTATAAAATGTTTTGAAATTCTTGAGAAGGTTCCTTGCTTGATGCTTGATACTAGGATTTCATAATTCCCGTACTATTCCAGTTTTTCCAGGAAAAATAAAACTCCCTGAAGATTCCAGGGATTGCTCAGCGCGTGGTTTCTCCTGGGCCGCGTTTTCCTAGATTCGTCGTTCCTCTTCCAATCGCTGCAAATCTAGCTCGATCCTAGCTGCTCGATAGCTCGAAGCTGTAGATCTTTATTTTTATTAAGAAAGACACAATTGACACCGTCTTCAACCAGAGGTTTCACAGACTTAATACTAGACGACGGGCAACACCCCGTAGACCAGTACTAAGTAGAGAAATTTTCTTTTACGAAATGTACCACCGGCAGGAGCAGAAATCGAACCAACCAGTTATGGCAACTCCAGAATTTCTCAAGGTCGTAATCATAAGTTGGTCCGTTCGTCGCCGATTCCGTGTACTCAATGTAGACACCGCCCGAAGATCCTTCAGTTCAACCACTGACTGGTTCGAATGTTCCTCTCTATAGAAAGAAGACATAAGGGTCCGCCAGTCTGAGCCAACTTGGGAAACACTCGGTTGGATCACGAGCTTGTACTCATGTTTCTAGATTCTTTTAATGCGGCAGGCCCATAACCTGTAGAGAGCAGCTGAAGAGGTCTGTCTTTGGTGTCTTTGGCAATCGTTGGAAAAGAATCTTATGAGCTTATGGAGGGGTGGAGCCTCAAACTTTAACCTAGGTTAAAGTGAAAAACACTATGGAGCTTAGACTAGTGCTTGGGCCTCCTGCAATCCAAACATTGCGATTTGTTCTAATCCAATTATATGAATGGACCTCGGTGTTATCCCAATTCTATTATATTTAATTGGTAAGGACAGTACCAAAATGTCGCTGGAAATTGTTTGTTTGATGTTGCAGTGCTATTTTTCGCACGAATTGATGTCAAGTAAGCAAATTTGGAATTATGTCATGATTTAGCCCATCACAAAAAGACTCCTGGGTTGCACACAACCGTCAAAAATATCCAGAGTTGATCATTTCTGGTTTAAGTTCCCATTTGTTTTAACCACATATTCTACTACATACCCAATCAACACTTTGATTTTTTATAGTTCGTTAAAGATGGCAATTCAAACTGCATTCTTATCCTGTGGTTCTAATTGTACCTAAAAAGGGAACTGCACTCTTTAGCACAAGTATTCATACTCACCAACCAAGACATGAAAGGACGATTCTCTTCGTCGCTCTCCAGCTCCCGAATCGATGAATCTGCTACTGTAGATGCTGAACCTTTTCAAGCATTAAAATGACCGCTCCTCACGCACCAAACTTTTTAGAACCAGTCTGACCGCACCAAACTGTTTCTCCTATATTTTTTCCCCCAAACCCAACCTTTGGCACCTTCGTATGATCCGATTCGACCGACCGATGATAGGCAGTGTATGTCACAGCCAGAAGCAGATTAGGCAATTCCTTGCCTTGTCCTATCTCTTCCAACACACGACTTTAAGCTGTTTTCCCCTGATACGCGTCCGCGAAAAAAAACAACAAATAAAAGAACGATGCAACAACTTAAATATGGCTGCCAATTATCTCGCGAGCACTAGCTAATTTATCAAGACGACATCGCCTTTCCCGGAGCGAGATTCACGCAATCTTTTCCCTATCTCCGTGCACGATCGATCCGCGCGGATCGGTAGCATAATAATTCTACCCGAAGACTATGCCCTCTCTCTCTCTCTCTCTCTGCAGGGTTTTACAAATTTCCGCAATTTTTCTTCCGATCAACTTATTCTACCGAACAGCGAAATTTTCCAAATTCCTAATCAATTATTCCTAGCGATTTGATTCGATTAAACATAATTACAGTGATTTTTTTCTAATCGTTTCCCGGTTTTGCACTAGTCGCGTTAATCGCAATGCCAATTCACAATCGAGACTTCCCGGAGGATAAGAAAATCGATCTTTTTCGTATTCCACCAAGTAACCAATAACCGTTCCGAATAGAATAACCCGTGAGGAAAATAATCTTTTTTTCACACCGTCGTCCGAT